CTGAAGTTCTATATTAATATCTTAAAACAAAACCACGATACAACTCGTAACTCATCATTGCCCTTGAGTAATCGTTATATCTGTTCTCTTTTTTTACGGTGTTTCCCCATCCCTCCCCTACCACCTCCTTTCCACATTTAAAACATGCACCGTCCTTTTTCAGAGTGGCTTCGTCTTGACGCTTTCCTGGCTTAGTAGAACAGGCAGTGAGTAATGTCAAAGGTGTGGTGGCCGGTGCCGCAACAAAGTATAAAAGGCGGGCAGCGAATGGAAGTTGTTGATTTCATCGAGTTTGGTCTCTTAGAAAATACATAGAGAGTTGATTACGTTCTTTGTCAGTTCTTCTCTGTCTGTAGGGCGCATCAACGTAATTAATAGTATTTATTTAAGTATGCTATTTTATTACAGTATTATTTTAGAGTAGGCCTGCAATGCATGGTCAACCCTTCTATATGGCTGTGAATACTGGACAATCACTAAAGACAGTGAGTGAAAATAAAACAGAGGCTACAGGAGACTGTTGAGAATAATTATCATGAAGGGAAAATAAATAAAATGCGGTAGTAGAGCTTGATGAAGCCCACGTGGGACGCCCACTGTTAAAAACAATCTTGAAAAGACAAATGCAATGTTCGGGACACCTGGATACGCATAAAGGTCTTGAACATCTCGCTCTTATTGGCAAAATTGAAGGCAAATGAGGCAGGGGCAGGCCTAGAGCAACCTAGAATCTACTTATGGAACCTAAACATAAGAATAACAGAGAAAATCGGGGAAACAGTTTTTTTAAAGCTCGAGCGTCCGAGCAAAGGAATGAATTTGAGAACGATGATCACCGATATCTGTCGTAGGTCGGGCACTGGATGAATGAATTGATCTAAGGGGGGGGGGGGGTGCTAATTGAGCCACGCTAGGCAGTTTCCATAGAATAATTAGATCTATGTTCTGTCCAGGAATCGAAGTCACACTCAAAGCGTGCTAGGGGCAGAAACAAACCATTGCAACACATACGCTAGCGGGTGCCTTTTCTCTCCACTGGCAGATAAATGTTCTTTTACTAGGGTTCAAGCTGAACTTTTTAATGTCATTGTGTTGTTTGAGAGTTCATGCATAGGCTAGGCCAAGTCCAAGACGCCCAGAGTAGTTACAAGAACGTATAAAAGCCAAGGCCTACGAAACCTAGTCCTTGGCTCAACATGCCTCGTGCTTGAGAGAAAGCCTGGCCTTGCGCGCGGAAGCGTGGTCGGGTCATATTTCCTAAAAAGATCGTCCTAGTTTCAAGAGAATGTTTACGAACGTTTTTCGAGGGGTGTGCAGTGCAGCTCTCTCTCTCTCTCTCTCTCTCTCTCTCTCTCTCTCTCTCTCTCTCTCTCCATAACTTTGCTTTCCATTGATTTCTTTGTGTGCTCATGTTCCGCTCAGGTAGTGTAAACTTTAAACGCACTGGGTTAGCAACAGCCTGACAATAATAATTATTATATAGAATGGTCGCTTTGGAAGCTAAGGCTAAGGCCTAGCGACTTAGAGAAATAATGATAATGCCTCAAACACAAGTCACTATTCTTCTGGTAAAACGCAATACATGCTGCGAGAAACAAAACAAAAAGCTTAGGCTAGTTGGATTCCGGTACGGTCGCAGCTAACAAGGTCTAGATCTATTTTCAGCATCTCTGGAACGATAGAAAGAAATCGATGGAAGAACAAGACTCGTGAATGAATGACCCTTGCCTCGCCCTCGCGAGTCTCGCTTATGTTTACACGTCTAGTTACCGATAACGTGCGGGGATTGTGAAAGCAGCGGTGTGGGAACTTGTCTACTTTGCTTTTAGGCTAGGCCTACACATCAGTCACCCGTAGCCACACGTAGAGGGGCTGTTTATGATTAGAAGTTGGACTAGATCTAGTTGGAGGCTACTGGGAGGTCATTCCTACATGCGAAGTGACACAGATTGGAGGACCTATCGGCGACCAGGTAAAGCCACGCTTTCGGCTATATTTCGTGTGCTAGATATCTAGATCTAGATCTAGATCTAGCTTGTATCAGAGAGTTCACAAACCCTCTCTGCTTGTATAGCGTTGCTTACACCCGGGACGTGTGTTAATTAGGCCTAAGCTATATTTCCTTACAGTGAGTGTGAATTTTGTTCTGCTGTAAGGTTAATTGGTCTGTTTCTGTAATCGTATGCCTTTACGTTGTGTAGCCAAGTGGTCAGTTAACCTAAGTCGGAACACCTTGGCAGGTCAAGGAGGTGTCAAGCTTTGTTACTGTGTGTCGGGCGTGTTGCCTGTGTGTAGTTTTATTTTTGTCCCGCTGCATTGTATACTTCGTTTATTATGTTTGATGGTTTCTTGGTGTTTGGTAGCCTAACATGTTATAAGCGACCATGCTCGTAGTTTTGGGAAGATTCGTTGACAAAATGCAGATTGTTTCATAAAGCCTGTTCTAATGACAATTTTGAAAGCAATCATGAGCCTAGGCACTAGGCCTAGATCTATAGCCTAGCCTAAGAAGTAAGAACATACTGGTACAAGATTTTAATAAGAAAGGCCTAGAATCTAGATTTTGTGAGGAGTAGGCCTAGGCCTCAGAGATAGAAAAAACAGGCCTAGGCTTTAGGCTACGTGTTTTGGTCTGAGAAGGGTGTGCCCTACTAGAGTCTAGTTGTAGTTTTTCATGATGAACCCTTCTCACATAGAGGCCTATTATCCACACCCTGCCCTGATAATCTGTGACTCAAGACCTAAATCTCACAAATAATGTGTCATGTAGGCCCTGTGGATATCACTAAATGTAACGTTCTTCACGGGAATCAACGCAAAGGCGAGTGTGTAGTGTGTAAAGTGTAAACAAAACGCCCTCCCAAGTAACCATGTTAAGACCTTAAAGTCTTAATGTATGATATAAGTTGGTTTTCATGTGTTGTGTACGAAGTTGTAGGCCTATAGCTTGTTTACCCCC